CTGAACTCGTGTTTTCATGGTCTGGGTGTGGCTCCCACACATGAAAAGGAAAAAAGCAAGACATTTGTGTCTTATTTCCTTTGGCAAAGTAGGAGCCCAGGTTCTCTTTGTTTCAAAACGGGGCCTCAGCAGTTTCCTGAAGGCATTTGGGGGGCAGCCTCCTGGGTTCCCCAGGGTGCGCTGCGGGAGGCCAGGCCTGCCAGTGGCTCTTTAGGAAATGCTGTGACATCTGACCGACTTAATTCTCCCCCATAAATAAAAACAGCTTTACCAGCAGAAATACAACACCACGTGACTGCAATATCGAGCTGACAGCTTGGGTCCCACCGCCTTCACACACAGCAGGCTGCTGCAACAGGCTGTCTCAACGCTTCCATTAATATTAACTTGCTAACTGTTCACTTGCTTTGTTATTTATTAGCCCTTTGCTAGAGATGATCCAGCTAGGAACAAAGGTCAAAAAAAAAATGTTTAGAGGGAGGAAAAAAATCCTTAAAAAAATGAGAAAATGCTTGTACCTTGGAACCCTTCCGCACTTGTTTTTATTGGTGGGACTCCACAGTCAAGTTCACAGGAGGCTAAGGGTCATGGACCCAAAGCAGAGTGGAAGACAAACAGCACCAGACGCCAGGGATGCCTCCGGCCGTGGCCTCGGTCCTGCGCCACCTCTGCTGCGGTCATGACGGAGGCTCCCAGGCCCTCTTCTCCTGAACACCCACCATCCCACCTGGTGGCCCCATTAACCATGCATTTTTGGATGATTTCCAGAGTCACATGCCAGGGAACCAGTTACACGAGGGCAAACCAGGGGCCTGCTTTCACTGGGCTTGTGCTCTAGCTGGGGTGAAAAATACCCAACGCATATTAATACACACACACACACACACATTTAATTTCAGACAGGAGCGAAGAGGGAGAGACAGAAACATGGATGAGAGAGAATCATTGATTGGCTGCCTCCTGCACGCTCCCCACTGGGAATCGAACCTGCAACCCGGGCATGTGCCCTGACTGGGAATTGAACTGTGACCTCCTGGTTCATAGGTCTGTGCTCAACCACTGAGCCAAACCAGTTGGGCACAAACACATATTTAAAGAAAATAATAATTATAACTTCTGAAAACGTTGGGAAGTCATAAACAGGATGAAATGGAGACACTGGCAGGAGGAAGTGGCAAGTCTAGACCAGGGGTCAGGGGAGCCTGGGGGTATGAAAGGCCATCCGTGGGCCAAGGGAAGAGCCTCCTGGGAGGAGAGAGCAATTGTGATAAACATGCTGCCGGGAGAGGAACAGGCTGCAGGCCAGGGGGGCTGAGCCCAATGAAGAAGGGACCAGAAGAAACTGGGCAGGTGAGTGGGGCCCAAATCCCCAGGGGCCTTGTCGGCCAAGGTGGGAGGTTTGGATTTTGTCCTCTGACTCATAGGCCCCCAGGGGGTGGGGCTGAAAATGCAGACACAGGTGAAAAGGGAAGAAGCCAGACAGACGCTGAGGGGGAGGCGAGGAGCAATGCGGGGGTTACTTGGGACCCTGCTGCCACCAGCCTTGCTGGGAAGACCAAGGCCTGTCCATGCACTTTGTACCTAACAGTCAAAGAAAAGTGGGGACAAAGGCAAAGAATAATATAGTCACGTAGACCTTGACCTTAATTTTTGCAAAGATATTTGAGAGGGGGCAGGAAGGGAGGCTAAGGTTTTCATGAACTCCACCTCCATCCCACACAAGAGGATGTTGCTCTTTCCTGTGAGCTTCAGATGCACGTGAAATGGCTTCTGAGCAAGTGCAGAATACGCAGAGAGAGCAGGTGCTAAGGGGCCACCCCGCACCCCTCAGGCCAGCATTGGGGAACCTCAGAAACTGACTTTCCCCGCTCACTGCGGCTCTGCTTCCCGGAGGAAGGGATGCCCGAGGACGGGCAGGGCCAGAAAGTTCCTTCTTCTCTGGCCAGGGCCTCGCTGTGAGAACGCCCCTCCCTCCTGCTGCCAAGTGGACAAAAGCGCTGGGATCTGGGGGTCACCTCCCAGTGTCTCCTGAGGCCTAGGGGTGGGCTGAGAAAGTGAATTCATCTATCGGGACCCACACCACGGAGGCTGCCCCAGTGGCGGGGCCTGTCACAAATCCAAATCTAGGTCAACACTTGGGGAAACACCTGTCACAGAGACCTAGCAGGCCCCAGCCACAGTCCTGCACCTCAGCACTGGCTCGGTGAGGAGATTCCCCCACAACCAGCCCTGCCGGTCTCCGTGGCTTCCTCTCACTCCATACAACTCGCTCTTGCCAGCACCCCGCAGGAAGAGGCTCCCCTGCTGCGGGGTGCTGGGCGGGTGAACGTGGGGGCGCTGGGAGGGTGAATGTGGGGGCGCTGGGAGGGTGGCGGGGTACCCCCACCCCCACCCCCCATACTTTCCCTAGGCGTCTCTTCCAGCCGCTGGCCCTGAGTCGTATCCTTTTGTACTAAATGGATTGTTTTGCTTTCACTAAAGGAATGCGCACACTGGTTACTAAACGGCGTTGTTTCTTGAACTGTGACCTCCTCTGAGCGCTGAGGCAGCGCCCCCGCACAGCCCGGCAGAAGCTCAGATGCGGATGAGAACGTACTCTCCGCAGATTGAAGACTCAGCCGAAAACATTTATCGGCCCGCCCGGTGTTTTTGCCGCCCCTGTGTGCATAGGAATTTGTTCATAGTTTTTTTTTTAAACTATAGTCTGGCCCTCCAACGGTCTGAGGGACAGTGAACTGGCCCCCTGTTTAAAAAGTTTGAGGATCCTAAAAGTAGACAAGAAATATAAAGGGGTATTTGAGATATTTGACAAAAGAAGGAATGCAAAACAGTAGAGCACGGTAAACACCTTCTCTGTCCTCTCCAAGTGTGTGTGTGGGGGGGTGGTGGGAGGGGCTCCTCCACCAAGCAGTTCTCTGGATGCCCTACAATTTAACTTAATTCTGACACCATCTACCTGGAGCTGGCCTCAGATCCCACAGTTAAGGGCTTGCTTCCACAAGGACCACCCTCCACTTCAGGATGCTAACCTCAGGTCTAGATCATCACCTGTGTTTCTGACTGACTGGTTATAATTGGGAGGTTACTAGGTTACTGGTTTATTATAAAAGGATACAACTCAGGACCCGCCAGTGGAAGAGACACCTAGGGAAGGTCTGGGAGCGGGGGGTGAGCAGGGGGGTGGAGGTAGCAGGCCCCTCTCCCAGCACCTCCCCAACCCTGTGCTGCAGGGATCATGAAGGTTTCATAACACAGGCAGGACTGAGTAGATCATCGCCCTCAGTGAGACTCGGTCTCCAGCCACTCACCTCCCTGAGGTCAGGGTGGGGCTGAAAGCTACAGCTCTCTAATCACATGCTTGCTTTCTCCTGCAACCTGGGGCTTTCCAGAAGTCATCCCGTTAACGGAAATGCAGATGTGGTTTAAAGGGCTTGCTATGGATAAGACACTGTTATATTATGATCACTTAAGAAATCCCAAAAGTTTTTAGGAGCTCTGAGCCAGGAATGGGGACAAAGAACAAATATGTATTTATTAGAAATCACTGTATCACATTAACTGACATAAAAAGGTCTATACCTTAGGCCATGTAGTCAAAGATATGCCCAGGAAAACAACCTATGTACTCCATCAAAACAGCCAATAAAAACACTTGATCCCAAGATGCAGTAAAACGGCATTCTCATACAATGGCTGTGGAGGTGAAATTCTTACAAACTTTCTGGAAGCAATTTGGCAATATGCATTAAAAATCCTAAAAACAGTCACATCTTTTGGCCAAGTAATTCCACTTACAAGTCTATCTTAAGGCAGCAGTCACAAATGCAATCAATGACTCCGATCCAGGAATGCTCATCAGAGTATTATTTAGACAAAAAATGGAAAGCAATGTGGAAGCCCAACCTCAGAATTAAATGACATATCAAGATGATGAAACTCTATGCAACCTTTAGAAAAACCAGATATATCTAGATAGTGGCATTATAGGCAGTTGTTCTTTTTGCATTAATGATAGTTCCAGAACTATGTTATATTTATAAAAAAGTGAAGCAATAAAACAAGCAACTAACTCAGTATTCAGATCAGGGAGGAAGCTGGAAAGAACGGTGAGAAGAGGGAACACTTGCTGAGTGAACCGAGACCATCACGTGAACTGACTCAGAGGCCCAGGACTTCAGGAGGGACGGGGCACAGGGAACAAATACGAAAAAATGTACTTGTCATGAGGGAGGAAGGAAAGAAGGGGTCTCACATATGCATGCATTTTCCTTTTTTCAAAGAACTTTTTCATCTTACAGGTGAAGAAGATAATGAAAGTTATTAGAGAAAGAGCCCATATTAAAAAACAAAAACCTTTGCGGATGTCGCCAACAGATCTAAAACCCCACATGAATTTCCATAAGGAATGAGAAGCCATGGCACCCAATCACACAGGCACTGAGAATCTCTTAGACCCTATGATATCCTTTCTGAGTCAGGAACACAGGTTGACAAGCTTAATCCACAGCGTGTATGTTTAGGCTCTTCGAACAATCCACCTCCCCGGCCACGGGCATTAGTGCAGACTGTGTGCAGGCCCCTGCTGCCCGCGGTCATCCCCGCGTTTCTACCCAGTGCTACTGGCGTTGCCCTCACCATGTCCTAGGCCAGAGAGACCCAGGGTGATGCTGCAGGGAGGACGGAGAGCAGAGAGCACGGGGTAATCAGACACGGGGGAGGAAGGTGGCAGACACTGACAGCCGATGCTTTCGCATGCCCACGGCTAGAATGTGAGAGGTCTCAGGGGTAAGAAAACAAACTCATCTTGCACGGAGAGGCAGGCTGGGCAATCGAGGGTGCCGGGAGGGCAGGTACTCACCGAAAGGAGATGCAGAGCCCACAGAAACGCTCCTAAACCGGAGGAGGAGGAGCTCAGGTGCGGGTTGTTCTTTCTCGCTGGCTTGCTCGTGTCAGGCCCCGGGCCCCAGGACAGGACGTGTCAGGCCCCAGGAGCGGGACGAGGTGTGGGGCAGGCAGACCAGGCAGAGCTGCCCGCATTTGCACTGGTACCTCGCAGAGTAAACAGTTCTCTGAACTTCGGCCCACTCCTGAGGTCACCAGCAGCTGATTTCACTTTCGTTTCTTCACTGACTCTTGTTGGCCCCTGACTTCTCGGAAAGAAGGCTGTAAACAATGCTGTCCTGCTCTCTACCCAAACTGGAGCTGGTCAGCCCACTGGCTTCAAGACCAGATAAGTGTCTTGATTGTATCACACAACAATTCCAGGAAAGACACGGGCCAACACACTCTCCAATCTCTGAGTGATTTAAACTGCAAGGTAAACACAACCAGAAGTCAGTTAGAAGGGACTTCTGAGCCAGGTCCAAGCCACCGGACCCACTGGGAAGCAGTTATGCCATCTGGGCCCCTGCTTTTCAGAAATCAGCTTTGTGATGCCTGGCTTCTCTGGACACAGCATTCTCGCCGGTTGTTTAGGTCTATGCTGGGCAGCTGGGCAGCTCTTTTACAATCAGGGAACGAGACTTTCATGTTTGAAATCATAGGGACCCTGAGCCAGAGTTTTACAAACTGCTTGCTTTGCTCACATGACCATTTGGAAATTCCAAGTGGGGTTAAGCTTAGTTATTATCTAGTAATAGTGCTGAGTCCTTCAGGGTTTCTCTGCCCCTCCCTCCCCAAAATGAGTTCTTTGATCTGCTACATTTTCCCCTCTTTGAAGTTCTTTTCAGCTCAAAAACTAGAAAGAGGTGATGTGACCCAACAGAAAGCAAGAATAGAGGCCTTGGCGTCGGGGAGCTCTGTGAGAAATTAGCAAATTATTTAATCTCTCTGGGTTAAAGGACATTGAAAACGAAAGCAGGACTACTTTGCACAGCTGTTGTGGAAATGGGAGATAATGTATGAGCACAGTACGGGACTGGGCACGTAGTAACCGTAGCTATTATTATTAAAAGCAACATTTCTAAATATCTGTCTTAGCCTTCATGGTAATGTCTTCAAGCCAGAGGCAGAATTAACATTTGATACTAATATAAACTATTACTCTGCAAACAGATCACTGGTGAGTGAAGGGACACAATATAGAAGAGAGAGGAACATATATTTTAAAAACGTATTCAAAGTTATAATGCATATTAGTTTAAGGGTCAAATATTCTCTGAAGTTTATTATGAAAATCAGCCACCCACACTCTGTATTGTTTTTGTCTCAGAGATAAGTACTTTCGCCTATTTTAACTGATTGCTTAGGTAGAGACCTCAATTCTCTAAATAACATGCTTTTATTGGTACTTCTTGATTTTTCCCTTTCAGGTGTAATCTACTGACTCTCACCTGTAGAAGATAAAGATTTAGCATTCTTCTCCCCGACTCCATGTTCCACAAGTATAAGTCCTTTTCCCTCCTGCTTCCAAACTGGTTATAATTTCGTGTAAATCAATACTCAGTGTCTACAACACTGTGACTATGTAAATACTATATGCAGCAGCTGAGCCATGTGGAAAACGATGAGTTCTTTTTCTTTCCTGCATAACTTTCTGTCTGCCTTGGAGATAATTACCTTACTTTTTTTTGTTTGTTTGATTTTCAATGTACTTTACACTAACCCAACCCTCAAATCTTCATCAGATCTTTTTTGAGAAAGTTCTGGTGCATCGTTTTTGATCTCTTCCTGGGAAAGGCTGCCCGGTGCCTCCCCGCCTGCTCCAGGCTGGGCCAGGGCCGTGCCACCTGACACAGCCGCCACCTGGAACCTCACTCACGTCTGGGCTTCCCTCTGCCTCCTCCTGTTGGACCACCTATTTCCAGCATCCAAGGCTTTTCTTGACTTATTTTTTTCTACCTTTAAACACTATTTATCAAAACTAGATGAGAGTATAGAATTTCAGGCTAAATAGTTTGCCTTATCGTTTTGAAAGCCCTGTTCCACTCCATCTCGCTTTCACGTTCTCGGTGAGAAGCTTAAAGCCATTTTGCTTTCTACTTTCCAAAAGAGCCTCCCCTCCTATTGTCATCCTTGCAGCTTTTTCTTAAAAAATAAAGACGATTGTTATTTCAGTGGATTTTAGAGAAGGAGCCAAATTAAGTGTGTGTCCTTTGCCATTTTTAAATGGAAATTTAAAAAATATATTTTTTACCTGTAGGGGGGGCTATTTTTGTCTAACAAGTTCCCTCTGGCAACACAGCTGGCCTCTGGTTACGCCCGTGGCTCTTACCAAGCTGTTAGCCTCCTCTGAGTTGTGTAACCAAAATCTCCACTGCTTTTGACAACACCCTCAGCTACCGCCGTTTACCCAGGCAGCTCGGTTTTTGGAGCCTCCTTGGTGTTTGCCTCTCCTCCTGGGCAAATACCTGAGCCTGGTGTGCAGCTGCGGGCTGAGAAAGTGAGCGGCTCCTCCCGGCGACACTTCTGCTTTTGAAGCCTGGTGCTGAGCCGCAGCGGCCTCCGGCCTTCCAGCCGCCTCTCCCTCCACGGAACCTCCACCCTGTGACCACGCTCGGACAAAGAACAGGGCCAGTGCCCATGGCAATGACTCTGGGAAGAGCCCTTGCCTTGGGGCTGGGGGGAAGGAGGGAGGGAGGCCCTGGCTTCCTGGCTGTGCTGGCCTGGCCTTTAGCCTCTGCAGCCAGAGTAGGGGCTGAGAAATGCTAGCAGCTGCCCCTCCCGGGGAGACACTGCAGCCCTTGACTGGGGAGGATGGGGGATTGTGATCCCTGTGTCCTTGGCCACATGCTATAGACTTGCTCTCACTGACTTAGATTTTCTTGAATGAAAGTTTCTTCATATGTTGTATGTCCTTAGGACAATTTTTTTTAAACCAGCTATGGTATTCTTGCTGGGCAGTGGGTGGACAGTGCCTCAAGCTGCCTTCCTGGACGTGACCTCTGCCCCTTTATTATTTTTCACAGGGAAAAGTTTTGACTGCATAACATCGAAAGACTTGCAAAGCAAAGGATATCACAAACAGATCTAAAACGACAAACTTCATAAAATTGTAAAATAAGAAACAATGGTTGTAAATTTCCAGTCCCTTACATTAATCTATGAATTTCTAATTTAACTAAGAAAAATGCTGACAGATTCAACCAGGGATGTCTTTATTGAGATAAATTGAGGTAAAGGTTTATTGAGGTAAATATTAAGCTACTTTTATCGATTTCTAATAATATATATATTAAAGGTATTTTTTTTTTGCTGCAAATATCTCCTTTTAGTTTCAGGTTTTATGAAACATCAATGGTGGTTAAAAATAATAGTAAAAACACAATACTTATGTCATCTAATTCTGGGTGCCTGATGAAACAGAAATAAAGCATCACAATTAGATTAAAATCATCTATATTTAAAAACACTCTTAGGAATTAAAATTCTATCAAACATCAATAAGAGCAAACAAAGAATACAATTAAGTAACAGCAGTTGAGGGAAATCTAAATTACTTTTAAAGAGAGAAAACACAGATGTCTGACCTGAACCTGCAGGTGACCCTGACTGCTGTGGCCTCAGATATCACTCTCCTGCCTTCCGGGCCGGCTGCCACCCCTGCCTGCTCCTCTCTAGTGAGCGGGTAAATCCATGCCTGCAGCAGGGCTTCCGTCAGAGATTTCAGGGGCTCCTTCATCATTACCGCCTGTTTCATTCATGTGTATTACCTTTCAAGAATCTCCCCCGCCCCATTCAGATCCCACACTTCCTATCCCCCATCTGCTGGGGAAAGCAGGCTTGGGCTCCCCCATAGATGAGTGTTTTCATCCAAACCATCCATTATTTCCCTCTAAAGTTCCGCTTTTCTTTCAGAGATGCCTTCGGCATTAGTCAGTGGGATTGGGATTTCGACGCACCTTTGACTGATGTCTGTCCTTGACGATGAGCCACGATGGCCTTGATGACAGGTGACTTGAGGGCGTTATAGGCTGTGTAAACTCGTTAATCTTTCACCAACGTAACCATATTCTTCAACCTGGGCAGAAAAGCATTTGGCTGGTTCAGGGAAGGTCTGGGAGCCCATGCTGGCCGGCTAACATCCAGTGGCCGGCTACCACCACAGAGCACCGCCCCAGCGCAAGCCGGACAGGTGCCTTTGTGGCGGGTGAAGGCCTACAAGGGCACTGCGCTTGGCCACTGGCTGTTAGTACCCAGGGCCATGCTGCCCGCTTGGAACCCCGTGGACTGCTGGGCTTCCAACGCAAACAATGCCTGGCAACCAGGCCAGCCATCAGTGGGCAGGGCCAGGGAGGCCTGGCTGAAGGAAACAGTCCCCTCTGTGCTGTTCCCGGCGGCACACTAGGGAGTGGTATTATCTGTGCATTGGGGGCAACATAAAAGGCCAGTTGCAGGCAGAGACTGGTCCACGAGCTCTGGCTGCTCTAGGGCCAGCTGCCCCTATACAGCACTGGGGACCGACAGGAGTGCCAGCCCCTCCCATAATGGTGAGGCAGGCTGCAGTTGAGGACTCCCATGCCCCAGCTCCTGGGTGAGGCTCCTCCTCTGGTCTGTTTTCCTCGGGAGCACGGAGGGCGGGTCCTGCTCACAGAGTTACAGGGAGTCCCGACCTGTCAGAGCCTGTGCTTGGTCAGCGCAGACAAGCTGAGTCAGAGACATGGCCTCACCAAGGTATTTATTACCTCACAGATAGGGACTCCGTGGTAAGAGACATCAAGAGGGACTGTCGCTGTCTTACCATTTCACATCTTTCCAGGGGAGCGTGATCAGTCCGGCGTTCTCCGAGGGCGTGGCTTGGAGACCTGGCTCCTGTCCCAGGGTGTGGCCCTGTCATCCTCAGCACACAGCTATCTTTAGAACAGGGGTTACCATCCAGATGGGACTGTAGCATTCTACCAGTGGATTTGCCATGTTGTTTCTTTGAAAAAAAAAACCCTCACTCTCCTAGTGTCTCTCCAGGAGACTCAGGCCCAGGCCCACAGCCATGAACAATCCCCACCCCCCCGCACACACAGCCTCCAGGAGAAGGGATGGTGTCAGCAGAGGCTGGTCTGGGGACCATGGGGACCACGGTTTGGGTCAATGGTCTGCCTATGAATGTGGAGAACAGAGGCTCTTACCAGGCTTGGTGGTGAGGAGTGAAGATGGCCAAACTATTAACAAAGGGATCATTGTTCCTTTGTTTATAATTTATTTCAGAGAGAAATTGCCAATTAAGAGTTTATGTTTCTGAAAAGAACAAATTCAGCCATAGTAAAGATCTACGTTTTTTGGGGGGAAAAGACGACTTAAGAAGCAGACTCCTTTTATGTGTAGAAAGGGTGCTCACCCCTCTGCCGTAAAGATGAGACAACTTTTTTTGGTGGTGGTGGCAGATCATTATTTTAAAGCTTAATTAGAAGAGACCAATTTAGTGACCTCAGGATAACAGCCGATAAGTTAGTGTATGTCTTTCATTTCACCTTATAAACGCCCTTCTGCCTTGTCAGTAGCATTGATGCCAATGCCAGACCCCAGGCTGCGCCAGGCATCATGGTTGCCGTGTGTGGGGAGCCAAAGACAATGCAGAAGCTGGGTCACGGCTGCCAGATGGGGTCGTAGCAGATACTCAGTCCTCCTTTCACAGTAGCCTCAATCTTTTGCTTTTTTCCTTCTGCTGGACATAGAATTTAAGGTTGCCAACACCATATTGTGTTTTTTTCTTAAAAAATATTT